AAAAGATTCTTCTGAACCAGGCTTGGTGTAGGAAGGCCTGAGGTTTCAATATGTATCCAATGGGGCTCAAATTTGGATATGTCATAATAGAAACCTATTGGAACAACTTTGGTGAAGAATGCATTCCCATCTGAGCAGTATAAGTGTACGTTTTGGGCCTTGCAAGTTGACTGCCGAAAATAGACTGGAATGTATGGTGTGCATTTTGATGGGCCCATGGATTGGGCTTGGCTTCATCAATTGATACGTTTTAGCAGTCCATCTTGCAGTTCAGAATCTGTTCTTTCCAACCACATATTAATTGGGCCAATACATGTTGGGAGGAGGAAGTTAAGGCCGAACAAATTGTTAACTCAGTCTGCTCGTTTTTGCACCATTTTGCATCTTTTCCTATCCAAAGCCACCATTGCTATCTAAGGCCCAATGAACTGAATGATAAACAGAAAAGGGATTAAATGCACAAGTTTAACTCAATAACATAACCAAATCATAAGCTAGAGGGGTACAAAATGATATACAATTATGAACTGATCAAACGTGTGGTTACTCTTTTGGTGGAACAAAAAGCCTATAAAACAAGACCTTTGTCTTCTTTATTTTTTACAGCTTTTGAACAATATTTTTGGGTGCTTAAATGTTCCAGAAAACTGCATGTTTATTTGAGATAAATCATCAAGTGTTCCATGTTTACTTGGTGATTTATCAAACACTTTATTCATTCATATTGCATTCATTTGCATGTTTAGTGACTCATACGGTTGAGGGCACAAAGACAGTTGTGGCAGTTTTTCTCCGGTGAGCTTGAATCGATCGTGACCAGCATCGGATTTAACATACGAAGAGTTGGAAGAACTCCGGTGAGCTTGAAGCAATCGTGACCAGTATTGCGTTCAACATAAGAAGTGTCGAAAGATCATCCCGTGATAGAAGTTGAGTTATGAAGAAGTCAGTAAACATTATCTAGAATGTGTCTAGGATAAGTGTGTGAGTACTTCTTGTAATCATCGTTCTATAGTGGATTTGTTTTGGACTGAGGAGTCCAGTGGATTTTCCCCAGAGGTGGGGTTTTACCACGTAAAATACTTTGTGTTTTTCTCTGCTTTTACGTTCTGAACTGTACAGGTCAATCCCCTTGGCGTGTTTTATTTGTATTATCGTAATACTCTTGACTACTCAAAACGCAGACTTTATGCTTTTGGTGTTTTAAGCCATCCTATATGTATTTTCAACTCAAAATGTTGAGCCCTCAAAACTGACGTTAGAAAATCCGAAGCGTCAATTTAGTTTGCTTTATATATATATATAATTTTTTTATTTTTTTTATTTTTTATTTTAAGAAATGGAGCCATTTGGGTTGAAAAATGAAGGCATGCCTTCATCTTTTCTTACATAAACTTCTTCACGTTCACTTTTACAATACTTATCTTAATGGGAGGATTCTCAGCCAGCGGATTTTGAAAGTGCTTTTGGATTATATTTAGTTCTCTTTTTTTTTTTCTTTTTTTTGAAAGAAGGCCGAAAGCATTTTATTGATAAAAGAAGGGCTTTTTAGATTTAGGTCAAAAACGATTAACTGTCATCGGGTTTAGTACTCACCCCATCCATATATTTTATCCATATATTAGGAATATTATCAAAGAAAGAATTTAAAATTTAAATTCTGGAATTCAATTACAAGGAAATACTGCATTAAATTTAGATTTTCAATGTGTTTTCCTTATTTACCTAAAAAGGTAAAATCGACACAATAAAAAAAAGTAAAGACCCACATATTATACCAATCGATCAGACAAGCACCCATATTAAATTATGTACCTAACATACAGGTAAATAGTGTTATTATTAGCAACGAAAAATACTTAGTGATAAATTGTGTTACCTATAAGTTAGAAACATAAATTAGAAGACTACCTATAAGTCAGATGCAAAAATAGATAAAATAAAATCATATGTTACCTATAAAAAAAAAGGTACATAAAATACTATTACACATTGTCGAAAATATGAAAAGACATATATATACCTATGCAATAAGCAATAGGCAATATGACATAAATGACTATTACCCGATTCAAGTCATAAGGGGCAACATTGGAACAAAAAATGATTTTAAAAATATTACATTATAAAATATTAAAAAAGAAATGTAATTCTATGTGGCACAAAAGTCAAAAGACTTTTATCAAAGTCCCCAAATCCGATGATTAAATCCAACTCCTTAATAGGAATTTGGATCTATATCAACTTTTCTAAAATATTAATTATGATTCTAGCCAATTTATGATGTATTAATTAATGTATGAAAGGAGGTGCTACATTTGACGTGTATAATCCTATAACAATTATGAAACATTTGACTAAATAAGCATAATTAAAGTATGCAAGGTGTTGTAACTCAAGTGGTTAAGAGCAACCCTACATGGATTTTATAGGTTCGATTCCCCATTCTCCCAATAGAACTTGTACAAAATAAAAAATATATAATTAAAGAATATTTCTTTTTCTTTTTATGTGAAAAGAGAAGATTTAACCACAAGGTGTGGTGCGATTGACAAATTGCCACCTCTAATTGGCGAGCTACCTGGTGCCTTAATGGCAGGGGTTTGAAATCCGTTGGAAGCACTTTGTGGCCAGGGGCAAGCCAAATCCCGAGCGGGGATTAATCCCACCCTTTGGGTGTGGGGACACCTCGTGGTATTTACCAACAAAAAAAAAAAAGGAAAGAGAAGATTCGAATTTAAAACTTCTTTGTCGAAAAATAGATAGAAACGTTAATAATATCATTATATAAGATTTTCCTTCAAATAATTTTATATCATTTGGGGATGCTCGTGGACTGCAGGTTGCAGAACTACTGGTGAAGAGGGCCTTTATAGAAGCTGTGGTGTTCGTTAGAGTGGTTTTATGGGTCCTGTCTACTCGGTTGGGGACCCGCGTCTCCTGCCGCTCGAGCGCCTGGGTCTGGGCGAAATCGTCACTCTGTTATTTTCCTTGCTCCATTCTTTTCCATCGTTATTACAAGTCAAGTCCTTGCTCCATTATTTTCCATCGTTCCTTTACTACAAGTCAAGTCCGGGCTGTGCCGAGGCTGAGGACGGCTTGCCCTGCACGGCATTTAACTGCCTGCCAATTTAGTCCACGAGGTTGCTATCATGTTTCCCACTCTTTGGCACATCATGCTTTGTTTTGTCTTGATGTATATGCATATATAGATAAATATATTATGGCAGTTGAGTTCACGACAATAATTCCACATTTGCAGAATTTGGGATGGAATGGAAGAAATAATTTCAACGAGAGGAGATGTGTACAGTTTTGGTGTTCAAGTCATGAAAACATTCATAAAATGGAAGCCAACAAATGAGATGTAATGAAGTTACTCTTTATTTACTTCTTGTTGAGGAAACCCAGGTCTCCCATTTTTTGGGCTCCCTGTGTGTATGTAAAATAATTGGGTTTTGGAAGCTGGTGAGCATTGGTTGGGAGACCTAGGCTTTTTATCCGAGGCTGTAACTTGTAATTTACAAGAATAATTAGATATTTCTATATATAAAAAAATCATGAAAATAAAATTAAAAAGTGAAGAAGGGCTCTTATTGTGCTGCACCTACTCAGAGCCGGCCTTGGGCAAGGGCCACCAGGGCTACAGCCCGGGCCCACAGCTGAAGGGGGCCCAAATTTTTTTTTTAAACCTATGTATATATGTGTAAAGGGGGCCTCAACTTTATCTTTAACAAATAAGAAAATGAGAATTATTATAAAGGGCTATTTCATTGAAAACATTGAAAATTGAAACCAAAATGGGACCGGCAATTGACTTTTTCATCATTTAAAAGACACATATTGTCGAAAATATGAAGAAAGAAAAAACATATATATACCTATGCAATAGGCAATATGACATAAATGATTATTACTCGAGAGATTCAAGTCATAAGGGGCAACATTGGAACAAAAAATGATTTTAAAAATAAAATAATAAAAAGATTACATCAAAAAATATTTAAAAAGGAATGTAATTCTATATGTCACAAAAGTCAAAGGACTTGGATCAAAGTCACCAAATCCGAGGATTAAACCCAACTACTCGATAGGAATTTGGATCTATATCAACTTTTCTAATAAAAGAATGTGCGGCTCTTAATCCGAATTTATTAGTGTTAATCATTATAATCATTAGTAGCTTTCCATTTTGCTAACCTTTCTTTTCTTTTTTCTCCAAAGACTTTTCTTTGCTAGCGTTTGAGTTATTGTTTTCGAATTCATCAAAAATATATATCGTGCTCGCATTCAGCGGAAGATGAGATATTTTCCAATCAAATTATAGCAAAGGCTAGTTGGTGTACAGTTGCTCCATATAAAAGATAGCATCCTTCGGCTGTTTGCACGCAAGCCCCGCCAATTTGTTTCTAGTCTCTCCAGTTTGTAAGTACCATACTCTCTCTCACACACATTCTCGCTCATTTGCATATTCTGTTAAGAAATGTTTGTTCATTTTTTTGAATCTACTTTTAAGTTAATTATTTTTGTAGTTCTGATTCAGAAGACAAAATTAGATAAATAAATTTCTTTGTATTCTCTCCAGTTCGCAAGTATCATACTCTCTCTCTCTCTCTCTCTCTCTCTCTCTCTCTCTCTCTCGCTCATCTGCATATTCTGTCAAGAAGTGTGTGTTCATTTTTCTGAATCTACTTTTAAGTTAATTATTTTTGTAGTTCTGATTCAGAAGACAAAATTAGATAAATAAATTAGTTTTGTAGTTTAATTTTATTATTTTACTTTGGAAATTCATTCTTCCCACTTCTTCACCCTTTTGAAGGTACCAAAATGTTAAATCTATTTTTTATAAGAAAAAAATTCTTCTGATTACCTTTTTGCAAGCAAAAAGAACACAACTGTTTGAAACAAAACCCAACTCACACAAAACCTTTTCTAAATACATTTCTCACCAAAAATGGTGTTCTCTCATAAATTACTTACTCAATTTTAAAATTAACAATCTGACGAAGTGTGATCAGTTTCTTTTTTGCAGCTGGTGTAAGACTTTATCCCGCATTAATTTGCAGCCATGCCTCCTTTCCCTGCTCTGCAAGCAATTTCTGAATCTGCTGTTCAAGGGTGATTTATATGATTTATATATACATAGTGTTAAGCTCTGTTAATTTTATCTCTTATGCATATCTTTATGGGGCTGATTTCCCCACTCCCCTATTCTCTACTTACACTCCCTTTTGCTTTTTAATACTTTTTCATCAATTTTGTTCTTTCTCTTTCCTATTTTATCCTTACCCTACATTAATTTCTTTTTTACTTCACTTTTATATTATTTCTTTTTCTTTATACTTAATTTTCCAACTTACACTACATTTTTAATATTAAAGGGAAGAAAAAAAAAACTTAATTTCTTACTCGATTAAAGGAAAAAAAATAATACTGAAAATGGAGTGCAAGTTGGAAAATTAAGTATAAAGAAAAATAATTAATATAAAAGTGAAGTAAAAAAAAATTAATGTAGGGTAAGGGTAGAATAGGAAAGAGAAAAAACAAAATTGATTAAAAAGTATTAAAAAGTAAAAGGGAGTGTAAGTGGAGAAAAGGGGAGTGGGGAAATCATATCCCATCTTTATTTGTGGATGAAATTAAGTGCAGTCATGAAGCAGATGAAAAGTTTGCACATTGTTACGGCAATTCCATCTTCCTTCCCCAGAGACAAACAAAGAAGCTACTTTAACTTCTTTTAGATTCTTTCTTCCATAATCTTGCAGTGACAAAAGCTTTAGGTGAACCAGAGATGAATAGGTTTGTTTGTGTCAGTGTTAAGAGACAAAAGATAGAGAAACAAGAGAAAAAAAAAAAGTAAAAATGTATTGATGCACCTAAATGTATTGGTGTTTACTTGAGAAGAAAAATTTACCCATCTTCATTTCAACTAAGCCATGCATCACTGTGTACAACGTACTTAAATACAGTTTAATTGTTTATATGCCTTAATAATAATGCATAATAGCATGCAATGTACCTAACAGCAGCAAAAAGGGTAGTTTGAGAAGTCAAATAAAACAAATTATTATTTATAAAAATTGATAGATTATTAGTGTTTCATAATTAATAATTACAGCTAATTACTTATTTATTAGTGTATTTGAAATTATCATTTTCATAGCTGTAATTAAAACAAAAATAAAACACACATACAGTAGGGTTTATAAGATATATAAGAAAAGCATTCATAACCTGCTTGCATTATCTCCTCCCCAGTTTTTTTGTCAGCAGTCTCCAGTTCGTACGTATCATACAATCTCTCACTCTCTATCTCACAATGTTTGTTCATTTTCTTCTGAATCTACATTTAATTATTAATTTCTATATTTCTGATCCTTTTCTTTTGTAGCATAATGATGTTCTATCATATATATATTTGGTTTCTTCTTCTTCTTCTTCCAATTTCTTTTTCTTTTTCTTTTTTAATATTTTAGGGGTACATTGATTGGTCAAACAATTATAAAAACTAGGGTGTCAGCTATAATTTATATCTTGTTCATTGTGATATCAACTTGCTCACATGAGATTCCTAGGGCACTACATATAATTATTAATACCAACTACCAAGAAGACCAAAAAATTATTAATACAAAGATCATTTGTCTAGTTTCAGACGTTGTTCTGCATTGATTTCCAGACTAAAGTTTGCAGCTATGCCTTCTCCTGGTTTGCAAACAACTTCTGATTCTATCCGAAGGTAATTAACTGGTTCTTAGTGTTAATTATCTCTTATTCGTTAGATATTAATTCTTTCTTTCTCTATGAAAATGTGCAGTCATGATGCAGATCATGGAAAGTATGCTGATGTGAACTGGGATGAACTTGAATTTGGAGTAGTTCCAACTGATTACATGTACACCATGAAGTGTTCCAAAGGAGATGAGTTTTCACAAGGCCATCTAACTCCCTATGGAAACATTGAGCTCAGCCCATCTGCTGGTGTTTTGAATTACGGACAGGTTAATTAGCACTAAGCAGTAACAATTTAATAATTAAGTATAGCTTGTTCTGTCACATTTCTTATTTTTTGTGTATCCAACTTTTGGTCACATAAATATATGTGGTGGTGCCATGATCAGGGATTATTCGAAGGCCTTAAGGCTAACAGGACAGAAGATGGTCGGTTTCTGCTGTTTCGGCCTGAAGAGAATGCTCTAAGAATGAAGATGGGTGCAGAGAGAATGTGCATGCCATCTCCATCTCCTCAGCAATTCCTTGATGCTGTAAAGCGAACAGTCCTTGCCAATAAGCGTTGGGTAGCCTCATTTTCGCTTTAGATCCTGCACTTCTGGTTTTCAATATGGTTTGCACAAGAGTGTTCATAAATGCTGAAATCTGCTTCTTGGTCACTTAAATATGTACATGTATAGGTACCCCCTACTGGGAAAGGAACACTGTATCTTAGGCCGTTGCTCATGGGAAGTGGATCTGTTCTTGGCGTGGGGCCAGCGCCAGAATACACATTCCTAATATTTGCTTCTCCTGTAGGTAGTTATCACAAGGTGAGTTGAGCAAAACCATTAAACAGTGTGTCAGCAAGATATGATGAGGTTAGGCTAATTTCTGATACTCAGTTTTGCAGTTTTTTTTTGGTCGAATACTTAGTTTGTGGTTGTTGTTGTGTATGTGACAGGGCCGGGCAGCACTCAACTTGTACGTTGAGGATAAACTCCATCGAGCTACTCCCGGTGGAACTGGAGGTGTCAAATCCATCACCAACTACTCACCTGTAAGTATAACTTATATGGATTTTATTTTTTCTGATGGCAAAATTAGTTGCTTCTTCTGAGTTGTGTGTGTTCCCATGAATATAAAGAAACTTATCTCATAACCACTTAGACTTAATGACTAGATTGCTGCTGATCTTTAACACAGAATGAGGCTAACATATCAACAAAATTCATCAATTTGAATTGATTACTGTAGATATTGATTGTGTAAAATTGTTCACTTTCTGGCTTTGTTTGTAGGTTTACCTAGCACAAAAGCAAGCAAGGGCCAAAGGGTTCTCTGATGTCTTGTTCCTGGATTCTTTAACTGGAAAATACATTGAGGAGATTACAGCATGTAATATTTTCATTCTGAAGGTAATGCCAATGAGTTTTTAACTGTTTATTATTTTCCAACTAGACTGAGCATCTCAGGTATGCATCACCAATATTATAAGCAGCTTCTGCTGTCTAGCTTTCAGAAGATAATATTTGCAGAGAGAATATTTATTTTTTTAATATCTTTCGTCAGATTAACACGATCAACCTTGTCTCAAATGAAAATCTCATGTCAACTTAATTCATCGCCAATTTCACTTCCAAAACCTGAGAAAGTTTACAAAACTGTTTATTTGTTGCAGGGTAATGTAATTTCAACTCCAACAATAGATGGAACTGTTCTGCCTGGAATTACTCGTAAAAGCATCATCAACATTGCCCGTGATTTTGGCTACCAGGTTATAAGTGCTCTTCAGTCATGATAATCCAATCAATAAGCTTGAAGTCTATAGATTTTATTTTTGTGGTGAATTAATTTTGTCGATTTTTCAGAACACACTTTTAGAACAAGCATGTTTTCAACTTCTTCTTTTTCGGAACAGGTGGAGGAACGTGTAATCCCCGTGGAGGATTTGCTTGAAGCTGACGAAGCTTTCTGCACAGGAACTGCTGTGGTTGTGACTCCAATTGGTGCTGTAACTTATCAAGATAAACGGTACAGAGTGCATCAAAATTTTCTTTTTTTGATCAATATCTATATGGCTTCATATGGTTTTTAATTTGGGGATGTCACTTCATTACAGGGTTGAATACAAGACAGGAAAAGGAGCACTATCTCAGAAACTGTATGAAGTGATAACCGGAATTCAAACAGGTCGTCTGGAAGACAAGAAGGGATGGACCATGGAGATCAATTGAGAACCTCCTTGTGCCAAGTTTGCTCTCTTTTTTGGTTTTCTTCAGTTAAATAGATAGTTAGTAGTGTCAATTGTTAGGGTTTTGCTCATTGTTGTGGTAATTCCATCTTCCTTGGCCTCAATACCCACAGAGGCAAACAAAGATGCTCTACTTAAGGTGAATTCGATGGTTAGGTTTGTATGAGTTTTGAGAGACAAATATTTGTTTTGGCGTGTGCTCTTATTTGAACGAAAATCTGCAAAGTAGAACTATTTGAGGGAAAATACCACTGTTTAGATGATGAGTAGTTTGAGGGTGATGCAATTTGATTGATTCGTAAGATTTTTTAAAAAAAGACAGTATAACCCAAAAATAATTTGAGAATATTTTTCATTCACAACCTTCTCATAAAGCCTTAATTGAGGTTTGGGGGTAATAATTTTTTTCAAATTCAGGGTTAGATTTGGGTTAACCTTGTCCATGTTGATAGTGGAAGGGATTTATCATCAAGGGTCATCTAGTAGTATATCTCCTCTCAATGTTAAGAGGCGTCTCAAGTTCGAGTTCTCTCTTTCTATTGATTTTTATAAAAAGAATGCAATCGGTACAAATAAAAGTACCCTTTGCTCCCTCCACCCCCATTTTAATAAAATTCCCAATTATAAATTTATTGTTACAACAAAATTAATTTAAAAGACAAGCTAATAGAATTACCCATTGCTCTGGCTACCATGGCTTGGGTGGCAAAGCCATCAAAGCTGTGGCCGCAGGGCCTGACGAGCTAACCACAGTTGCCTCCTCTGCATGCAACATTTATGTGGATTTCAAACGGGTAGCATTAAGAATAAGATGGTATGTGCTGTGAAAGTTGACATTTCAAATGAAAAATCTCAACATGAAAATAATTGATTAACTTCTAAATTTAACAGTATTTAGCTGCTCTATGAACAAGTCATTCCAAGTATCTGTTATTCCTGGTAAGCACCAGTGCATGCAATCGTCGTGCTTCTTTCCACCGGCTGCGGATGGATGGGCATCTGCTCTGAACTCACTCATGTGGGTTATGTCCAAAATATGGAAACCCGACCCTTTGAGGACCTTATAAAGGTGTTGATTGACCAGGCGTGCCTCCACATTTGTCCCATTGTTCTTCACAGAGAAGAGTTTTTCAACCTGAAAAGCAAACCATGACTTTAAACATGTATATATATTGATGTTACGTACAAGAAATTGAAACAAAACAGAAGAAAGTAAAGGGGTGTGTGCTCAGATATCAATCGTTGCTTTATGAAATGAAAGTTTAGCTCAATTATCTAAACTGAACATTCATTGTGTCAAAACAAAAAATACACAAAACATAACATTCAATCAGCTCATGATCGTGTCCTGCAACTCACCTGCACTGGCAATAAAGGCTTTTCCCGGTTACAAGAACCACCTTGTTCCCAATCACCCCCTTCAAAATGCCTAGGTGATTGAGTGCGAAAGAATTTTATTGCACCTGGCTGCATTCTGTTCTCCACAAACATTACCTACAATGGATGAATCTATTAAAAACATGACCACGAGAATACTTCCTCTTAATTTCTTATGAAACATAAAATTTAAAAATAATCTAAGTATTTCATCTTAAGATTAAACCAACCATGTGTTTCAGAGCCATATCAAGGCCAACATCAGGGAGTACGGGAGGAAGCACAGGCTGACCCTTTTCAAAGAAAAGCATGGGTGACTTTGTAGGGTCAAACTTTGAAGGAGCCCACCACCTGTTTATAAGAACCAAAAAAGTAAATGCATAGTCAGCAAAATTGAGAGAGGCATGAAATTTCCTAACTCGTCTGTTATTTATTTTTGAAACGTGCTCTTACCTTGTACCTATGGATTTTTAGCCTATTTAAATGGCTGCTCATAACTTCTTGAAGACAGCAACCAAACTCCAAGGAAGTTTTCAAATTAGATCATAGAAACTCTAGTTCCTGATTTTTTTCGTGGGCAAATTAACAAACTTCAAGGAAGTTTTCAAATTTCTGTTCTTTTCTATTTTACTAATACGGTTACCCTACATCAAAGTTTTCTTCCTCTCCATTGGTGCACCTAAATTGGATATGATTGTCGATACTAGGATACTAGTCTTGTGATCACTAACTATGAACCTATGATACACAGACTTATTGTAATCACATCATGAAAAGAAAAGAAAAAATTGTATCAGCCACATTCAAAAAACTCATGAATAAGCAATAACATAGTAAGTACCAGTGCCCTGTGTTAAAGATCAGAATGTCATGAAAGCTTAGAGCTTCTGCCCATGTACTGTCTGGAATGTCAACATCAACTCTATAACCCTCTTTATATCCAAGAGATTCCAGCACCCCACCATTAGCATTGGCAGACCACCTGCATCAAACAAAACATAACAACCCTAAGTGTCCTAATAAATAGATGAAAACCGGACCTTAACATGTGCAAGATGTAACTCAGTTCCCCATCTATTCATCTAATAAAGTAGCAAATAGCCATCAACATAGTTGCAAACATAGCTTACCTACCATAACGGGCCAAAAGGTTTGTTCGATGATATGCAAGGGTAAGATTATACTGAAGAAATGTAAACCCGCGATCAGCACCAGCTGGTCGCCACTTCTTAACCTCACTTGACACTCGTTTCAGAGAACAGAAAAGCGAAACAAACATATTCCGGTTCAACGAATCACCGACAAACCCTGCACTGTAGAACATTCATAAGGTCTTATATACAACAACGGATTCAGTATAAGTGAACCACAAAGTCCTTCAAATCATCTCATCATATCGCATTTGGTATAATCAAACTAAGTACCAAATTTAAGTGTCTAATAAAACTAAAACCTTTACTTAATTAAGTCAATTAGAAAAATCGGTAACCAAGGAAACAATGGTCTTCACTGCACTCAATCAAGTCAATTAAAAGTTAAAAATTCCGGATTTCTATATGTTTATGACTTCCCCTAGCTTCAAATGTAAGTTTTCACGCGCTTTCTCAGCATCCAAACAGACAATAACTTCACATCATGGACTAAATAACTTCAACAACCAACACGCAAATAAACAGAGGAAGAGAGAGAGAGAGAGAGTACCAATGCTGGTGTCTCTGTACATCTGAAGAAACCTAACCGGATCGAATAGCGGGAGATCACAATGCTTGGGCTGCCATCTCCACTTGACGAGCTCCCGGCCGTTGAATTTGTTGCCGGAAATACAATTCCAGCCTTTGAAGATCTCCTTGCAGGTATTGTTGTACCGAGCAGACTGATTCGGGTCGTAGATCCACCTTCCATCCGAGAAGTCGCACGACTCTCCCGGGTTCCTTCGGCCGGATCCCGGGCTCCTTCGGAACTCGAAGCTCGTGCTGTGAGGTCGCGAAGGAATGGAGGTCTTTCTAATGGAGGAGAGGACGGCGAAGATCGAAACGAAGCAAGCGAGAGAGAGAAGAGGAAAGAGTGGAACTTTCCTTGTCGTCTGGTTTTGGTGCTGAGAGTGTTCTCTTGAGGCCATGCTTCACTGTCGTCGATGATTTTGGCGCAGGTTGAAGCCTAACCGGCAACTCATAAAAACCTCACGTTGCTCTTTTTTTTTTCTTTTGTGTTCTCTATAATTAATTTCCTTAGGTAATTTCAAGTTAATGACAATTATATCACCACCATGTTCAATTTAATGACAATTATACAACAATTTGAAGTTATTTTAAATACTAAAACTTTTTTTAGTACAAGCGTTAATTAAGCTAATTGGTCATGAATCGTGATAGTATGTCTATTCTTATGTAATTGAGTTTGATACCCCTCTATCGTAGATTAGAATCGATTAGATTATCACTTGTATAAAAAATTAATTTAGATTATCGCTTATATAACCCTAACAAATAATTTAGAATTCATTAGATTATCACTTGTATAAAAAAATTAATTTAGATTATCGCTTGTATAACCCTAACAACCATAACAAATAGTTTAGAATTCGCCATTCTCTATAGTAAGTTCAGGTCGTGCTATTTTTAGGTAATGAGAAAGAGCATTCTCTATTTTGAGCGTAGTGCTCTTTTGATTGATTTTCATGCGTCTCGTTTTTGGATATAGTTAAACGCGTTCATCTCTCCTCCACAAGTATGGTGCATATTTTGAAATTTCGAGATAATCTAACACCAACACACACAGTATAATCAACAAGTACAAATGCCAAATGATGGGCTAACAACGCATTTATCTAAGTGGCAGAAGATGACATCCTTAACTAAATTAATCACTGAGAGATTGTTTTTGTTTTATAAATATAATAAACAAAAATAGATCTAGTGTACTAACAAATATATATCACTGCAACAACACCAACAACAAGAAGAAGCAGCAATGTTGGGGAGAAATTACATCATTGTAAAAGAATATATAGTGAGGATGAAAGCCAATTCACTAGAACTCACTTCCCCAACACACATAAGTCAGAAGATCCTGTGTCATAATCGATCACACAATGGGGCTCTATGTTCCCACAAAATATGAACTTACCCTTTGGGCACTGAAGACGTATATAGCCGATGTTTCACCAACAGGCTGATCGAACAAAGTTACAAAGCTGTGATTCTTAATGGTATGACTTGAGGTGGAAAACTTGGCAAGCAGGTGTGTAAGATTTCTTTAGTGCAGCCTGTTCAAACTTCTTTGAGGCTACTTCGTTCTCTTCTAAGCTAGTTTGAACAAAGTACCTTATCCACCAGGACGAGCTTCGCAATTTGGCCTTCAAAAGAAAATCATTGCTTCATTTCTCTATATTTAACTTTGTAAAGCTATACATCAGGAAGTTAAACTTGCCACATCCATACAACCAAAGCAAGCAAATGAAAACTGAGAATCAATTTAGTTTATATGTATCAATTGTCATCAATGACTGGGAAACTAAGAAAATTCGGAATATCAGAAACATTAATCACTTACTGGACGGCCAAATTTGGATAGCTCTGCAACTTTAGCTTTATGCTGACCTGGATAACC